AGGGGTTTAGGGGTTTAGGGTAGGAACTTATGATGGATATGTACGGACTCGGCTCTCAGTATCCTACATCAGCAGAAACAAGATCTCCTGCGTGCAAACCGTGGTGTTGAGGTGCGGCGTCTCTGCAAGCTTCGCAGGCAGAGCCTGCCTCATGCGATGACACAGCGAAGTGGAATGTGAACCACGGCCTCGTCTTTTGCCTGCTCGATTAAATCGACCTGCAATCCTTTTCAGTGCTTCTGGGCCCCAGCCTAGTGAAAAGCTGCATGCGGAATTCTGTCTTCACGAGAATCGTTTCATAATTCCCTCTGAAATCCTCAGACCCTCTACACGGGCTAGCGAGCCATCCAATCATCATAGAACCCACCCAAAACCACCTCCAGGCCCAAACTCTATGCCCGCATCAAAAACTGCTACTGCGCCTTTTATCAACGTCCCCTGCTTATATGAAGCTCCCGAGACCGTGGAGACTTGGAATTAAGCTAGGTTCTACCATACTCCATTATCCTATAGAAGTTGTTACACAATCACTGTGTACATTTGTCGTCAGTATATATATATATACACAAATCTGCATACGCACAAACACACAGATATATACCAAGCATATACTGCTCTGCTTATTTGCCGCATTGCCCAATCTGTACTTAGCTATTCCTGTATCATGAATCCCTAAGACCTAAACCCCAAACCCAAAACCCTAAAACCCTAAAGCCCTAAACCCTAAACCCTAAAACCTAAACCCTAAACCCTAAAACCTAAACACCCTAAAACCCTAAACACCCTAAACCCTAAAACCCTAAAACCCTAAACACCCTAAACCCTAAAACCCTAAAACCATAAACACCCTAAACCCTAAACCCTGGGGCTCCAAGGCCAGCGGCCCCACTCGTTGTCGTACCAGCTGACCAACTTCACGAAATTGTCCTTGGCTCAGGGCTTGGGACTTAGGGTTTAGGGTTTAGGGTTTAGGGTTTAGGGTTTAGGGTTTAGGGTTTAGTTCTTGGGCTTGGTTGGGTGTGCTTGGTAAACACCCTTTTTTCTGTTCGATGGTGGGAAAGCGGTGCTTTGGGCTTTGGGTTTAGGGTTTTGAGTTGAGGGCTTTGGGCTTTGGGTTTTGGGCTTGGCTTTTTTTGGAAGGGGGGATGAGGGGGGACTCAGGGTTCAGGTTGCAGGGCTTGGGGTTTTGGGTTGGGGTCTTAGGATTTCTCCTAGACCTCGTGTCCCTGGTCCTTGCATTGCAGGCTCATGAACAGGCATAACTACCTGACATCGGAGTATGAGTCTCGGCTAACCCCTAACTCCAGCTTGTGAACTAGAGCACGAGCTGCCCACACCTGGTGTTTTCATATACGGGCCTGAAGGATCATAGGCTTTGGGGGGTGTGTTATACGGTGACGGCACGAGAAGTGGACGGGAGCCACACTCGCAGACACGCGGGGTCCCTTGAAAAGGCTATGAGGAGACGTCTCGCTGCCGAGCGGCGTTCAGCGAGATACCGGCTGCGACGTCGAAGATGGAGGAAGCCTCCATCATCAAGCTCAGGGTCCCCGGATTAAAGAGTGTGTAGCAGGTCAGGTTGTAGATGTTGTGCATGCATCAAGAAAGAAGCAAGAATTAACGAGAGATGTACCACAGGATGCGGTTCAGTTCCCCTTGCATCAACCTGCAGGCGCATCTCTCAATGCCACGGGCTCGGTGTATGTGTTCATGCATGTCTGTATATATATATATATATATATGTGTGTGTATATATATATATATGTATGTATGTATGTATGATGTGCATGTGCATGTGATCCCAAGTCCCCAGAAGGGGCCAGCCTTGCAAGTCACAAAATCCGTAGACACCACCTCCTCATCCGTCCAGTCCTCAAGTTTACCAGCTTCGAGTTTCGATCTTCCGGCTTAGGGACTCTCGGGCTTGGCGTTGAATGTCTCAGGGCTTAGGGTCGACGGTCTGGGCTTTGGTTTAGGGTTTCCGGTCCTGCTTCGAAACACAGAGGGTTGTTGTTGGAGATCTGCAAAACTCCCATCCCCACCAACACTTTAGAACTCAAGACCTGAAGACCGACTCTCGAAAGCCAACCAGAGGAGTACTGTCGAGAGCACTGCCACCGTCACTAAGATCATCACCACGGATACCACCAACAACATCACCGTTTGGGAAACGTCATCATCATCCCTCTCATACTCTTGCGATTTCTAAGGGCTGTCATCTTTCAGCACAGATGCTGCCGAGACCACATTCCCAACGCAACGGACATGCCCCATCTAATGAAAAGGGTTCCCACTCAGTAAACATCAATGCCCTAAACCCTGAAAGCTAGAACCTAAAACCTGAAGCCCTAAAGCCCGAAGCCTAAGTCTCAAAGCCTGCACCCTAGACCCCGAACCCTCAACCTCACAACACGAAAGATGACCTAGATCTTAAAACCTGAACCCCAAAGCCCTGAAGCCCTTAAGCCTTCAGCCCTTAACATCTCAATCTCCTAACGAGACCCTAAACCATAATCCCTAAACCCTGAACCCTAAACCCCAAACCCCAAACCCGAAGACCTAAACCCCAACCTTTGAGCCCCACGCCTGGAACGTTACAGTCCAAGGACCTCTGCAGCCACGGAAACCCTTGGAAACCCATCTAATACAGGGGCCGTAATGGCCTTAATAATTTGAAGAAGGTGTTGTGATATATTATACTGTAATCATTTTAAGGAACCCCAAAATAGTGCTGGTAATTATTTAGGCCCCTATAGTAAGACCTTACCGGGACCCTACAAAGCCATGCAGAACCCTAGCATGTTTGCTTTAAGTGCAGTAGCCTCTTTCCATACGCCGAAGCCTGCTCATGATTGAGCTTGCACGTCAAATTGAGCCCTACCATGTTTGGGGTCTACAGTTTTTAGGACATAATCCTAAACCTTCAATCGTCAACCATACAAAATCCTAAACCCCAAACCACCCTCAAGACCCAAGCTTCGAGGCTCGAAGACTACGTAACTCTGAGGACTTGGCAAGGACGCCCTTCATGGGTCCCGCAGCCGCCTCCTATGAGTTCACAAGTCTGCAAGCGGTTTCATAACGGCTTTAACGGAGCAATCTGGGTTTTACAGGGTTTTGCCAAAACCTCTCAGGCTTCTTGGGGCTCAGTTTTCGGATTGTTGCTCTTTACCTTGGGCTTTTATGTTCGGATTGAGGGTGTGGGGTTCAAGGGTCGGTTGGAAGATGCGACAAAGCCCTGAATATTGATCTATGCCAGTCCTTGTATTAACGGCACAGAGGAGTTTCAGGAACCCGTCAGCTTCATGAGAAGTGCGCCGGAAAGCCCGGTGTGGTTATGAAGATTTGCGGCATTTCTTTTAAGGACCCTGCCGTTTTCTCGCTTTTTGGCTCAAGGGTGGATGCTGCACATGGGGATTTCAGGAAATGTGCACGGCATCGCGCACCTGCACCCTTGTGTGGATGGCGAATATAGGGGCCTAAATAACTAATTACCTATACTGTTTTGGGGGGGCTCCTTATTATAAGTATATAATAGAGTGCCCCAAAACCCTCCTCGAATTGCTAAGGCCTCTACATTAGACGTGATGCCTTTGCTTTGCTCCCCATTGCACTGCTGCACCTTGCAGGGGCTACTTAAAGGTTCATGGGACTTAGTAACTAGGGTTAAAAGTAAGGTCACTATGCTTATAAGTACTTATAACCCCAATTAAGGTACTTATAACTGTACTTATTAAGTCCCATGAGCCTCCACGTACAGCACCGCACTCTGAGGCGCTTTCCGTAAACTCCGAGTCTTCGGGAGGAAAAGTTCAACCGTGGAGAATGGCCCGAGACTCCAATGTCCCTTAATTAAGGAATATTCCTTAAAATTTTAGTAGGATCCCTAATATGATTTAAGGTATATTCCTTAATTAAGGGATATTGGAGTCTCTAAATTCCAATCTATTACAGCAAGATCTCCCTGGACGGCTCAGGGCTTCCACAAAGCAACGCCTGATTGCGCTCAAGCAGTTTCGCTGCAGTCCTTGATGGCAGCGACAATCTCCTCGTACCTGACCATACCAGACACCACATAATCAGTTCGGACTTCACAAGACTCACAGCGTGATCCAGTTCACCCGAAACCCTAAACCCTAAACCCCCAGTTCAATACTCATTCGCTCCCAGCTCACTCCGGCTCCCGTCTCGTGTTCATGGCCGAGCTACACGAGGAAAGTTCTCCAAGCAGGACCGATTCGTGGACCCAAACACTAAACCCAGCAGTCCTCGACCCTGATTCCCACCTCCTAATGTCGCAACCTTAGAAGCTACTGCTCTGGCGACGTCCCCAGAGCTGTGCCAAGATTTCTTGCCTTTACAGAACATGACCCTTCATGCAAACATAGGCATGCAAACGAAGGTCACGACCCTGAGCACAAAATCCTGATACCCTAATTACACCCCGAATTTGTAAGACACGAAACCCGAAACCCTAGATTCCTAAGCCTGTAATACCAAACCGTAAAACACGAAACCTCACAGCCCATCCCAATGACCCAAATGCAGGCGCAGAGCTTTCCGGGCTTCTCAAGACGGCAGGTCAAGTCCACCACGGACACCTGGGTTTTAGGGTTTAGGGCCTAGGGTTTAGGGCCGTTCAGGGCTTTAGCCTAACAAGAATCCTCTGAAACCCTACACGACCTTTATGAAGCCCTCGTAATTTGGAAGTGCTCGAGTCCAAGGCGTCATATCCAAGAGACTGGTTAGTGCATGAGTTCGGGAAGTTAGGGGATACCGTTGAAGCACGTAGGGTTTAGGTGTTAGGCCCTGTTAGGCGCATCTCGAAACCTCGAATCCTAGTTTGGGGCAATGTTTGGCGGGCAGGGTTGCTCTGCCCTGGAAGCTTAATTGAGTCGGTCTTGCTTCCAACGCTCCGAAAGACTTTCCCGAAGCCATGAAGCTCAAAAAATGGTATAGCACGGGCACATCCGGCGTAGGCACACGGAACGCCATCCTCGGCTTACGGAGCCCAAAGCTTTGCAACGCAAGGCTTCCTAACGGAGAGTCTGAATGTTCGAAGGTGGGACCTTCGGGACGTGAGCCTTGGCCGAAGCCTTGAAGCGGACTGCAGGTGCATGCGAAAACATGGGGCAATACGATTGATGATATAAATCCTGCATCACTCATAATAAGGAGCTTGAGAATGGGGCTACGGCTAGAGCGGAGGACCGCAACGCAGCTGACCGCCACTGAGGCCGCGCAGCCCGCGCGAAGCTGGACGGCACCGCACAATAACTTATGCAGTCCATGCAGCTTTGCTTCCAAATGTTGCAGATATATTTGCCCCGTTAAGTTAGATTGTTGAAGCTTTCCTGACCCCCCCCTCCACCCCTTTAACTATTGAAAACGGACCAGATAAGGTCTTGCGTGCTTTTTTGACCTAGATCCCTATTGCCTAGATGAATGGCAAACGACAGCTCCCGCAAGCTCCACAGAGCTAGCTTTCGTGATATACCATACTTTCCATAGTTTAGGGTCCTTAAAGTAATGCAGGATTTATAGCAGAGGTCCTGAAATTTTGGATTCTGAGACAGGCTGGAACGCAGCCCTGCAGAAGCCCCAACCTGTCCGCCGAAAGCCGCACAGCCACTGATAGTCAATGTCAAAACAAGGAGAACGATCATACTCGCAACAGTAATGCCACGAAAGGAGTGTGTGGTAATTAAGAGAAGTAGCTATGCTAATGGCCAGAGACAAGCGAACTAGAAACAGCATCGCGAGTAATGAATATGAAAAATGTCACCACCACGAGTCACGAGTATGATGCTTAGGACTAACAGACAGCGACAGTGATAGAAGCGATAACACCCAAAGCAGTGTCACAAGAAAAGCAAAAGCAAAACAACGCATGGAAAACAAATGACTACGATGTTAGGAAAAACAAGTGCGAACAAAATAAAGGTAGCTACATAATTGCAACCATTCCAGATGATGTCTGACAACATGCATTTGGATATTCGCTATGCATGTTCAGCTCGATAGCTGGATAGTAGACCGATGCAGCAACGTGACGATGTTTACATTCAAGCATAAGTGCCATGAGAAAAGGTGGAAGTCGATAATGATGTGCACAGTGCATCTGAGCGGCCCTGTCAGCTTCTTGTTCATCGCCGGGATGACTTTGCCCACAGCCTCGCGCGCAAGTGAGGCTGGAAGACTGAGTCCAGTCTCTAGGGGTTTAGGGGTTGGAAGCCTTCAGTCAAACTCTTTACCTGCTAATTCGTAACCTCAACAGCCCTGCACCCCAAAATCGGCTCGGATGCTGCTTGCCTGGCACCATTCAGCCTGCATAGCCCCACCCACACCCAAACTCCCGACGCTCCGAGCGCCAGCGCTCCCACTCGGTAACGGCTTAGGCTTTGGGCATGAGCCCAAATCTCCACACTCTAAGACTGTTCTGATGCTACGGCTTCCGAGTGCAGATCCTTGGCAGCGCCAGTGGAGGAAGGAATGATGTTCCTTGCGGAGGATTCGGGAGTTTCAGAAGGAACCCCAAAAACGGCGGGGGGCCCTTGACACAATAACCCCCCGAACAATGGACACCTACTGCTGTCAAAGGTTCATGTGCGATTCAGGACATAGCATGGATACAAGCTGCAACCCTGAGCCCAGAATCTTCAATGTGGGATTCGATTGCGTGCCCCAGACTGTACATGCATCCTGTGATAGACCACACAGGGTTCGGCTTCAGGTTGCAGGTATGCGTGTAACCCCGATTCAATGAGCCCACGGCGATTCCTCAAGTCCTGATCCTGGACGACCCTCAAGGGTTTCTGGCTTAGGGTTTCTGAGGTTTCTTTGCCTTGGGTTTAGGTTCAGGATTCAGAGGTTTGGGATGCTTCCGGTTAAGGAAATCTAGGGAATCCGCATCAAAGGACCCCGCTTTGGAGGGCTCTCACAGCGTCTTGTGAAACTAGGGCGCTGGCTGAACACCCAGGCTTGTGGAATACATTTAAAAGGGCATAGAGCCCAGGGCCCAACCCTGAACATCAAAACGAAACAACTCTAAGTCCGAAACCGCAACCCTCAACCCTGAACCCAGGGCCCCAAAGTAAAATACCCAACCCCTAGAGCCCGAAAGCCCAAGTAGAACGAAGGCTCTTTGGGGATTTTTGGCTTCTCCACGATTGTTCTACACCACAAAAATCTCTGCAGTTCTCCTTTCAAGAACCCCCTGCCACTTTCTCCTTATCCAGGCTCCTACAGCACCCCCATCCAATGCTGTCCAAGCAGCTGGGAGGCGCATCGTCCTCCACGCCAATCCTGTCCATGTGGGCTTGTGTGCTTGAAGGATTCTTCTAAAGGTTTACAAGAGGCTATACAGCTATACAGATGTCCACCAGGCTTTAAGGGCTGACGGAAATTTCAAGCTGGCTATAAATTGTGTATGTGTTTATGGGTTTTGGTCAGGAGATACCAGATGGGCTCTTGTTTACAGAGCTTCGGAGTTCCTTCGAGGATCAGGACTTTGTAAAGGAGGTAAATAGGTTATGCAGAATGAGTTGGCTCAGGGCTTAGGGGTGCAAAAAAGGAATCGTGTCTGAGGGGTTTCGTTTGGGAGTCAAAATGTCACCAAAGAAACCAAAAACTAAATAGGTTCAGGATCGGACGTAAACTGGCTAGTAAAGCTTTTCGGTGTCGGGGAGGGATTCGAGAGAGTTAGGTTTAGGGATCCTGACTCAGGCAGCAGTTAGCAGACTTTGGGTCACCTCCACGAGAGAAGAGAAATCATGAAAGTATGCAAACTCGGATCCAAATGCCAAATTTGCACAAATCTAAACCGCAAGTCTTCACGCACTCTGAACTCTACATCCTGGCCCTTCAAGCGAACGGCGCTGAAGTGCAGATCCTATCGGTTGGTCACGCCAAGGGCGTGTCATATGGCGTTCATGCCGTATGTTTTAGCTTTAAGCTTTCCTGCTTCGAAGCCACTTTTTCCGCTGCCTTGACTCCCTGCGTACAGTCATCCAAAACCGAAGCAAATCTCAAGCCGCAAACCTTCAGACCTCAACTAGTACTTACTACTACTACTACTACTACTACTACTACTACTACATCCACTGACTTGTTGAGAAACCCAGGGGGCCAAGTGCCAAAGGTTAAGGCCAGGGGCAAAAGGCCAGCAGGGTTATCTCGACTCCCATTGTTGGACTGTGCTTAAGATATCGGTACCAATGCAACTTGGCAACGCCGCAACCAGAATAGTATCACTAGACTTGTGGCAACCCTTACAGCAACAGCATAATCATGTTAGTAGTATTGCGAGCAACCCTTGCGGCATTTATCACCACGTTGCTCACTGTCCGTACAGGAACGTTTTGCTGACGCCATCTGATGCCAATTTTCTGTTCTCAGGAAAACCAGCGGATTGGCTGAACCTACAAGGTTCTACACGAGGCGGATCGAGGCAGGATATGACATACACTGCCATGCATAATGCATGGGCAACGAATGAACAACATCATCGAGCACAAAACCACAATGCTGGCCACCGCCCATGGCAGCTGCTCCACAGCCGCCTTCTTGCTTTCCGCTCCTCCTTCCAGTTCATATCCTTTTTGTTTTTGTGTTTGCGTTTCTTTTGCTCTGCTTTCGGGATATCCGGAAAATCCGGGAAACTGAAGCCTGGCCCGTAGTTGATCGAATTTCGCCTTGGTACAAGAAGCAGTGCGTACAGTGCACACACTGTTCACGAAGATCCTTTGCAAATCTGCGATTCTTCGGCAACTGCTTCAGCAGAACTACGGACAGTGTGCGATCACCAAGTCCTGCTTCTGGAAAAGCTTGAAACTGCGCCGTCGGAGCGCTCGTCATTTTCTGGAAGCTGTAACCCGACAGCGATGTGTTCACTATGAACCGGTTGCCTTTATGCGTCGCCAAGCGGATGATTTGTTCGGTGAAGTTTGCGCTACCATTCACGATGCACCAATTCACCGTGGCGTCGTACTTCTCGAACAATGGCCTCGACGAGAACGACAATGCGTGTGCCCTAAGACTTCTTACTACCGAAGTTTACGACGATTATCCTAAAATTTTCCTTGGGGCGCCCCTTCAGAGGGATGTGCGCGGACTTGGGAAGCTGCTTCGTGCTCCACAAGCCTGGCCGTTCGTGCATGCACCTGCACACCGTGCGACAACTCCATCAAGAAGAGCATCGTCACTGCGCCAAGCAACCCATTCCAACAGCCGAGTTGGCGCACGTCTTGATTTCAAGCAATCTGCGTCATCAGCCGCAAATTGCGCCTCGACATGTTCTCCTTCCCGACATCTGCAGAGGAGCCTCGACAGCTGAGGCCAAGCGACACGTTTGAAAACTTTAGAATATCTTTTCATCGGTTGAGATAAGCGGAACGAGACTTCTTGGTCTGAATCTGGGGCCGCACCAACTCTGATGAACATGACGCCGTAATCACGAGCTCAAGGTCTTCCGGCTCCGAGCGGCAGACAAATGAGGTCCCAAGCTACGGCCCGGTGTGGCCAAACTACCCGCGTCTGTCCCAGGCAAGCTACTTGCTGGTGACACGGTTGCCGGCGACGGCTTCGCCTTTGCATTCTGGGGCGTCGTTGTTGCTTGGAAAGCATTTGACCTGAAAGTCGCAGCACCCGCGTGCGTTCATGCGAGCCTGCATTTTTTAGAATTTCGAAATGTGCGATGCCACTGAGGCCGGCACACCTTCTCATGCTGCTGGTCCATGTGCCACTGCAAGGCGAACGTGCCAGCGCAGTGGCACGCGTTGCTTCCGCAGATGCAGCCGGCCACGTGGGAAGAAGTAATGCAAACATTCGGCGTTCCCTTGAGCTGAAGCACTCACGGACCTGAAGCTTCAAAGCATCCACTGCCGCGGCGCACTGGCTGCCGAAACAATTCACATCGGTCAGCCACATCGCGTTGGGACTGCCAGCTGTGTCCGCAAGGATCTCACACTAGCCGTTCGGCACCAGCGCGGTGGTCAATACACGTTCCGTTCTGCCTTGCGCAAGAAACACCCTGAACCCCAGACAAATGCTCGGACTCGCAAGGGCTACAAAACAGAACGCATCATCTGCATCCGCGCTATGCGGAGTCACAAGCACTGCTCGTACATTGCAGACCCAACCATGCACTCCGCAAAAAGTGTTTGCTAATGAAACTTCTACTACTACTGCTACCTACCTACCTACCTACCTACCTACCTACCTACCTACCTACCTACCTACCTACCTACCTACCTACCTACCTACCTCCTTTACCTACCTACCTACCTACCTACCTACCTACCTACCTACCTACCTACGACCTACCGACCTACCGACCTACCGACCTGCCGACCTACCGACCTACCGACCTACCGACCTACCGACCTACCGATACCTAAACCAGCCAGTCGAACTTGTTTTCCAGCCACTGCCTTCCAAGTCCGCATCAACCACCACTCCATGCTCACCTGTCCGAGTCATGCGAAAAAGACAAACAGCCAATCCAAGCTCTGCTGCGCATCTCCAAGTCTGCATCATCAATCGCAATGGCTTCACCACGATCGCCTCTTGACAAATTTACAGCGCACAGCAGGCATGCGGACAATATGGACTGACTCTCGGCCTCCTGGAAGAGCAACAGCAACCACAGGCACAACAGGACCAGGAGCGGCGCCTGCCACACCGCACACTGCATATTTTCCCTTATGTTTATGTGGCCTACGAGACAAGTCACCTGGCAATCATCACAGCCTGGCTCATCGCCTCCCTCCGCCCGACCGGCACCTGTTACGTAGCATCTTTGATTTTCGCATTCCATTCCAAGCTACCGAGGCCGTGCCTTGTTGCTGCAAAAGGACTACCAAATCATCAGTGCTGAGCTGTCGCGCTGCCTCAGCTACAGCCCCGCTAAAGTTTAGTACTTTCGGCCTTGCGCCAATGGTTGCAGATCCGCCTGCATCAACCGGCTTCGTCGCTTCTTGAGTGCTTTCTCCTGGTTTGCCAGCTCGCGGTTTTCTTGACGCTTCGCAGCACGGCGTCGGCGAAGATCTGCCAACTCATCTGCAAGGACCTCCAAGCAGTACACCAGACTCACAAGTTAAACTCAGCAGAATCCAGCGACTCCAGCGACACACACAGACAAATGCAAAGAACAGAAAGACTCACCTGGGCACGACGAGCACGATTCATCTTCGGCGCCATAAGTGTTCGAAGCTTTTCCTATACTTCTGGCACGAGTCACTAGCGCAAGTCAATAGCACTGCCTGAAACAAAGACTGCGCGAAGTCAGCGAACTGATCACGGCTCCTCTATTGCACTGTATTGACATGTCCCACACCCGTGTTCACTGCAATCTCTTGCTTCAGAGGCGTCAACCCCGCTGTTTCTGCGCCACG